TGGGGTAAACCCTGACTGCAACACACCAGAACGCGTAAGCCTGCCTATGGCCTCAGACGTCCGCCTAGCATTCCTGCCTGAAGACACGCATGCATCCTTCATAGGAGCAAGCTTCGACTTCAAGGCAGCGCACAAACAGGTGAAAGTCCATCCAAGCGAGCATGGCCTCCTGCTGTTCCCCTTCGCAAAGACTCTGTTCCACTACAGGGTGTGCCATTTTGGAGCGCGCTTTTCTGCCTACTGGTGGCAGCGTACAGGAGCCTTCTTGCTTAGATTGCCGCGTGGCATTCTAGCTAATCACCCGCATAGAGCTTGGTTCTTCGTAGGTGGTCTACTAGCAGCCTTGCGTCGGGCGGATGCGCACGAGCAACTTGCACTCATAGTGGTGCATTTTGCCGCAGTATCAGCACCAGTTTCCTGGAAAGAAGTGCAGTTCCAAAACTCCCTCACTTGGTGTGGATGGACTATAAATTTCAATCTTGAGACACGCCATTGAAACCACAAAATTAAAAGAATAGCTTTGCATGCTGCTAAAACCAGGCAAAGTTAAACGCAAACTCCTGGGGTTGCTCATATGGGCCACTAGCCTGAGCCTGGAACTCAGAGCATGGCTCGCACCGCTACACTCAGACCTGCATTTGCCTCCGGGTTGCATGATTTCTGTTCATGCACTCTGGCCTGCATTTCGCTCAGCACTGAGCCCGAAAGCAATCCTGGCCTCGCCTGTTCAAGGAATTTTCATGCCATGTAGCGGGCCCGTTGGCTGAGCATACCCGTTTCTAAAGCCAGCAAGGCCAGCGTGGAATGGCTCATTCAGTGCTTCGACGTAGCATGCCCACTAAGGAACAAGCCCATGCTTGCGTGTCAGGCAGCCGCATGTGCAGAGGGCAGCGTAGTAGGCATAGGTGGACGGTTCATTTCCAGCCAGTGCGTTTCCTGGTTCGCGGAAACTTGGGAATTCGCAGAGGTCCAAGAACAGTGGCCTTGCCTGACCAAAGAAGCACAGCGGTACATCGCATGCTTTGAAACCCTCGCCCAGCTCGCACTCATGTGCATAGCATGGGCTGCCGAGGGACAAACATGCCATAGCCGCAGGAACAGACAACACAGCCTCCGAGGCTGCCTGCGGCGCCTCCCCCTGCCCCTGTCCGCCCGCACCTGTCGGTGTCGTCGCCCTCTTGACCCTCTTGGCGACCACCGTGCAGCGTGCCCCCGGTGTGGTGCACTCCGGAGTCAAGGCTGCCCGCTCGAGCGTGCAGCAGCCCGCATGCCGCAAGGCCGGGGCTCGAGTGACCACGAACACCCTTGTCCGTGACCTCAATGGTGGCGGTCTCTCGCTTTGATGACCGTCGCATCGAGGTCATCGCAAACGGGCTGTTTTTGTGGAATGGGGCCCAGCTCGCAGTTGACCGACCATTGTGTCCCGGCTCACCGCCGCTGGGGAGGCCCGTTCTCGGCGCCCCACCCGGCCCAACCCGTTGCCCTTCTTGAGGCCCAGCGCCGCAAGGAAGCAACCTACCCCGAGCTTCTTGCCAGCGCCCGCTGCCGCCTGGTTGTGATCGGTGTCGAGGTCGGAGGCCGCTGAGGGTCAGAGTCCGCCTCTTTTCTCCGCCTCCTCGCGCGTGCCAGAGCTCGAGCCGCGCCGGAGGCCCTTCGCCCTGCCCTTCGGAGTGCTTATGTCCACCGATGGTCCGGCTTGTTGTGCTGCAGCTTCGCTCGCCTTCCCTGTCACTTCCTTGCCCTCCCCTGGCCTGAGCAACCTTGATGGGCCTTGCCCGGACTTGAGTGACCTTCTCGCTGCGTGCCCATCTTCCGGTGGGGCGTCGCGGCTGCCGGCCCAGTAGCCGTCGTGTGCATGCGAGGACGCAGCCCTCCGTAAAAACAGCGTGCAGGTGAGGAAGCTCCGAAAAAACAGTTTGCAGAACCCTGGTGCCCGGGGCCCCCCTTAATTGCGACAGAGACGCTGCGGAAAAAGGCGCGAGGGGAGAAAAGTAAAAAACAAGTTGCCACACATACTCCGATCCGAGCCAAGCTTTAGTACCACCGTGCCCACGTGCCCCGCCCTGTCCTATCCGTCCCACTTGTTCCGCATCCTCCTTCTCGGGCGCCTGCGCCTTCACTTTCCTAGCGGTTCTGCCAGTGTCATCGCCCTTTAGACTCCCTCGGCGACCACTGTGCGGCCCGTTGCGCGAGTGTGCCGCGAGGCCGGAGCGAGGGTGACGTGCAACATCCGCTTGGCAGACTTGAGCCTGGTCGACAAGCGGCGGCTTGAGGCAGTTGCCAACGGAGTGCCGTTGTGGGGCGGGCAGCAGCTTGCCGTGGACACCACGTTGGTATCTCCCTTGTCCGGCTCCGCCAGGAGAGGACACATCCGGAGCTGCTCCGCTCGGAGCGCTGCCGATTGGTTGTCTTGGCTGTTGAGGTCGGGGGCCGGTGGAGTGACGAGGCAGCCTCCTTCGTGCGTGCCCTAGCGCGAGCCAAAGCGCGAGAGGCGCGGTTCGTCTCCGGTCCAACCTGGTCGCTGCTGCGCTCCTGTCCTGTCCCACGCCGTTTGTCGGCCTTTGCTGCCACCTTCACCCAGCAGGCGAAGCCACTCAGCCATGCCGACGGTGTGCTCCCACCCCTGGGTGAGCTTCTTGCAAGTGTGGGTGAGGCGCCCCTCATTGCTAGCCGGCTGCCTGCTGGCTGCACTTCGCACGACCGACACCCCCCCGGGTACAAATTTCTCGTGCGCCTCCCATGCCCGGAGGCTCCCTTTAAGCAGGGTTTTTTGGGGACGAACCATATCGCGGTGGAAAAAGGTGCGTGAGAAAAAATAAACGCCAGGACCTGACGCCGTGGAAAAGGCGAACAACACTCTCAGCACCAGACGGGTGGACAAGGCAGAGCATCTCGGCGTTTTGCTGGGCAAAACATGACGCATGGTCGCTAAAGGGGTGCGCCAGGGCACTGGAGGTCTATGCGGCTGCTTGCAAGCAAAACGGGGGAGAGCAAGGCGAGCCATTGATGCCAGCGCTCTACACGCAGACAGCACGGTGCACTGCAGCAGGCGCTCTCCCAGTTGCAGTGTGGGGAGTGGTTTGTTGCCTTCTTGGATGATGTTTGGGGAGTCGTGCGGAACCTGCATAGTTTGCTGCGCCTGCCATTTTCAGCCTTTTGCAATCTCGACGGCGCACCGCCGCTGCCTAGTCAGTGACGTGCTCGATGCTCATGCGATCTGCCGCCTCAGCCGCGTCCGCTGAGGCGCCCGACCCTCACCAGCGCAATTCTGCCTTTGCATGCCGCTGTATCTGTGGCACCGAAGCAGTTTTCAGTTCAGCACGACTGCCTCGCATGTGCCAACTGTATGATGGGAAAGAGACAAAGGACAAAACTTTCGATGCATGTGCTCCGCATTTTTATTCTTACACTTTCGACACGCCTCCATCACTACCCCTCGCAAATTGCAGGTGTATTCCCAGATTGTTCTGGCCATTTTTCTTTATGTTTCCGAGTCTCAGGTTTACACACCCGCCCAGCTCACCCGGTTTAACTCCCTTCATTTCAAGGCTCTTCGGCAATTTCTAGGTGTTAAAAACAGCTTTTTTCATCGCGTTCTCCAGCCTTCTGACGAGCTTTGCTCCAACGAACACTTGCTGCGCTTGACCCACGAGCAGGCTCCCAGTTTGCGTGCCCCTACCCAGATTATTTCCAAAATCGTATTGAATACCTTGGTCATATTCTCCGACATGTGAACCAGTATGAGCACACAGTTTGTTTCTCATCCGCCCATGCTTACCGACAGATTGCCTCCCCTTACCGGCGCGGGGCTCCACGTGCTCACTGGCCTGAAGTTGCCATGACAGAGGCCTACCACCGCGCCCTCCTTCGCAATGCTGGCTCCTTTCCTTCGCCTTACGATCTTGCCCATGATGCGTGCCAGTGTGGGACCTTGTCCATGGTCAAACAGTACAACGGACACTCTATGCCCGCCTTGGTTTGATAATACTCGGATGTGGCGTTTACTCCACCCTCTTGCTCAGTCACGTTCCCAATGGAAACTGTTGTCTTTTCCGAATCGACGCAGATGATTTTTCAAGTGCACTGCTGACATGTGTTCTGCTTGGGACGCATTGCGCTGTTCAAGAAAAAACCTGACGAAAATAGGCGTAGATTCGATTTGCATAGGCTTTCCATCGTTTTTGTTTGAGTACATGATTGGATTCAAATTGTGACACATTTTTGCAGATCGAATGGTGGGCAATTCTGTGACGAGGGCGTTGCAAAACAAATGTGTGCCGTCTCCTGTTTGGCGTTTTACGTCCCAACGAAATGAAGCTTCTGCGTTTGCGGTTGCGTCGTTGCAGAAAAGTGAGTATGGCTGGCGCCTGGGCGCACCAAACAGGCAGCCGCCTATGTAACTGAGCTGGCTGTCCTGACGCGCCTCCGCGTTCTGCCAACTTGCGCGCCGTCAAAGCCGGGAAGCTGTTTGCACCGTTCAGATCGCGCAACAGACCGCCGGCGAGACGACGCTGGGCAGCGGCAGGAACATGTGGCGGAGGAGGACAGTCCGAAAGTCACGCGCAAAAACTGAACGCTGCCGCCTACGCCCGCGTTGGACGGCATGAAGGCTCGCGACGCCGCAGACGCCTGAGGAAGACGCACAGCTTCGGGCGGAACACGCCGCAGTTGGTTGGTCGAGAAGTCCGTCACCAGCGTCCGTGGCAGCTGCCATGGTGAAAGCCGCAGCAAATGTCTTCAGCGCGAATAGCGAACCGATGTTCTTTTGGGCGAACGCCCAGCATGTTGTTCGGCATACGTGCTCATACTTGCCATGTGTGGTTCAATCGCATCATGCAGGCCGCAATCATGACATGAACAAACAAATGAACAAAGTTACGAGATCCAGCATGCGGCCCACCGCTTGAACAGAGTGAGCATGTCAATCCCACACGTGTTGAATCTGCAAATCTTCCGTATGACGTCGCATGCAGAGCCTGAATTAGAAAGGACACGGCTGTGGACGCAGGGCAGCCTGACGGTTTCATTTGGGCCAATCCCAGTTATGGGCGTTGGCAGTCTCTGCGGCTTGCTTAACCTTCATGCGAGACTGCAACCGATTCAACAATGATGGCAGTTGCCAGGCTCTATTGTGGAATGTGGTTGCCTCAGCTGCACGCAGCTTGATTAATTCTGCAACAGCAAAGGCTTAGCGGGTTGTCGAGCCGCATTTTATTCTTACAAAGGTCCAGATGATTGGCAGTTGGTACTGGCCTTGGGCAGCTTTGGTTGGTAGCGAATGCTTCACCCCGTTGTCGCATTAGTGAGGATCCAAAAGCATCAGGAGTGCAGGTGCTGTCCATTCCATCATGCTCTTGAAAGTGATGGGTCAACTCCGGCAGGCGCTGAACAGCCTGTTCTTTGCCAGTGGTTGGCATCTCAGTACGGCTTTCCTGCGATTGACCATCATAAAATTGTAGATTCTCCGAATCTCCGTGCACCATGGTACATCGTTGTGGCTCAACTTCTTGCAGCGTGCCAGCTTTCAGAAACAAAATTGAGCACTGAGGCTCTGCAGGGCGGCAATGGGATGCAGAAGCTGCAGTGCTTTCCGCACTTGTCCATGCCTGGCACCAAGATTGCTAAGCACCTAGCTTAGCCCCGACTGTATGTCCTTAGGAGAGGGCGCCCCCGAACCGGCACATCGAAGCGCTTGTGGATCAACAGCTCGGGCCTGCGGAAAGAACACCTTGTATTCAGCAGCATTCTTTTTGCGTGAGCTCCTTGAGGTGGTGGCGGGACCACATTGCAGCTGCAGATGATGATGCGGCTTCAGCTACTTTTGACTTGTTTGTGGTTGCCTAAGTTGTCTCGCTTGCCTCGACAAGCATCTCCATCTCACTCACGCAAGCTATTTGCCTTGGGACAGGCAACTGACCCAGCAGGCTGCCAAGTTAACTTGTACGAGGCTCATACGTGTTATTCGCATACGTGTTTTGCTTGTCAAGACGGTGAGCGCGTGCGGATTGTTGTGAATCAATACGTTTTGCTCACATTCATGGAGGGAGCTTGTAGAATCTGCGCCTCAGCATGCTTTGATGCGTGCATCGTGCACAGGTGAGCTCTTCGGAACATACCCTGGATGGACAAAATCCTGCATCGGAATGGATGAAACTCTATGAGAACTGGGGCAAACCACCTAGCAACTGGTGCATAATTTTGTCCATTCACAGTAGCATCTTCTTGCCAGCTTTGCTTTTGGCACTTACCCGGTTACAACTTTCGCCCTAGGGCTTCATGTGGCCATCCCTTGGCAGGTCCTCACATGTGCTGCTTTACTTTCAACTCATCTGCGCCGCGAAGCTAAGGCGCCGGTGAACTGAATGGGCCATGGGTTTCAGAATGTTTTAAAGATTCAAGGCGAAAGATCCAACTCCAACGGCTTGTTTCAAATGTCGAGATTTGTTTGCCCCTTTTCTGCAAGAAAACAAACGAACAAAACCAAAAACATAATTTTCAAATTGTTTGGGAGCCAGGGTAGACACCGTGTCTCTAGGCCGCAGTCCTTTGCCTGCTGTGGAGCGGTGCCGGGCCCAGTGGCTGGCTGTGATTTTGTGGACGGAGGGTGGGGGTGTCTGAGTGATTTGAGTAACGTGTTAGAAACAACGTGTTAAATTTTGAAAAGCAACGTGTTCTATGAAGGGTTTGAGAAAAACAACGTGCACCGAGGCCGTGATGATGGGCGTCTAGGGGTGTCCGCAATGATGTGGCTTTTGAGCTCATTGCTGCCGGGGGCCATGGCCACGAAGATGCGACTCAAGCCTGATGCAGTGCCTCACCACTGTCTGGTCGAAGGATCGATGGAAACGAATCCGGGCGATCCTGCACGTGCACACCGTGCTGTCAGTACCGTTTAGCAATAGTAGTACTACGGTAATTGACAATGTTCAACGAGACAGAGCAATTGGTTGGCGGTGGTCACCCGTCCATGTCCGCAGCTTGCTTGGACACTTGAGGTCCTTTGCTTACTCAAAGTTGTGCCCATTAGTAGGAACGCTGCGAGGCAGGGCCTTCACCGGCTAGGGATTCTAATCCCATCGCCACCTCCCTCAGAGGCAGGGAAGGGTGTCACATCAAAGTACCACATGCTCGACTCATCGATAGGACATCGAGAACGACGTGTGCAGACTGACCGGGCCTCTGCTTACACATCGTCAAGTTGCTTGCTGGCCTCCTTGTGTTGGCAGTGGCAAACGGTCGGGCAGAACTTGCATGGCAAACTTTCCACAGCCTGCCCAGGTTGTGGGTGTTGCGCAAGCATCAACCGTGCAGAGGCGATGCAGTGGCTTACGAGGCCATACTTGTCGCATGAATCCTGTGGGGCAATTGCCACAGAGAGTGATGCTTAGTTGAGGCATAGAGCAGGCAGAAGGCCATTGGGCCCACCGCCAGGAGTTGCTGCTTCTGTCCGACCTCGATGCTGGCATTGCCTGGGCCCATTGCGAGATTGGGCGACACTGGGCTTGTGAGCCTTGGGTTGGATGCAACCGCGTTTCAGCGGCGAGATGAGGCGATCTTCTGCACGGCTTTCGAGTCACAGGACTTGCAAGAACCAGAGCCGCTGGCACCTGTACGCCTGGCATGGTCTTAAGGAAAGCGGGTTAGCACTTGAAGTCACTTGCACGGGTCTCTGTGGTTCTTTGGAGCTTGCCAAATATGATGTGCTTTGATGCGCAGGCTCGCAGCGGCTCTCGCTTGCCACGGAATGAGGCTGGCTCTGCGCTGTTCATTGGATGTGGCAGCTTTCAGATTGGAATGTAGCATCAGGCGCGCAAAGGCCGTGCCAAGGCTAAGAGCAAACCTGATCGAGCCCGTGTGCTTGGCGAGTTTGGCGCGAGTTCTTCACCGCTGGCGTTCTCACTTGGCAAAATATTCTATCTCGATTGCTGAACTCTGCCAATTCTTGCTTGACTACCTGGCTTACTTCGCACATCCAGCTGAAAAGAAGCGGTTGCTTGCGAGGACACAATTCCTCGTGCATGCCAGGAAAAGAAACCAGCCAGGATCGTGTGAGGATGGCCCCAGAAGCCAACAAGGTTGGCGCCAGATGAAGTCATGGCACTCCACTGCGCCGGCTGCAGGTTTCGGCCGTGACTGCTTCTGCGCTAATGAGCCGCCGGGAGGCTCCTTGGCTTGCGGCTTGTGTTTGCAATTTTTAGCATGCTATGCACACAATGCACACAATGATGCGTGCGGGTAGGGGCCGACTGACATCTGCAGCGCGCGCTGGGTGCGCTCAGGTCCTCGAGGCCTTCGAAGTCTTCAAGGCGATCAGAGCCGAGCAGGAGCGGCTGCCCCGATCCAAATGCAGCTACGACACCTCGGCCATCCGATCGCCGGGAGCCTTGGGATTAATCCGTTGCTTGGGGTGGGCAGCAGTCATGTGAACCTTTTTGGTTTGTCGGATACAGCGCCACGCCCTTGCTTGGTGCAAGCGTTGTAGCCTGTTTGCGTCGACACAACAATCCAAGCGAAAATCCTACTCCAACTACGAAGAACCCTCCGACTAACACGAACTGACCTGGAACTCACTGCGGTGAAAGTCATTCACTGCAACAACAAGGGGATCTGCCGACCATGGGGCTGACCATGCAGCCACCATTTATGAACTTAATTTGAGCAGCGATGGCAGTTTTTATTTTCCGCTGGAGTGCAAGGTTGCAGAAGATCAAGGTGCCCCAGGTGCAGATGGCTGTCAGGCGACTCTTGTCGTCAGAGCCTCGGTGCAGCAAGCCATTGACACATGCGGGCGCGTTTCAACACTTGAGGAAAGGGCATAGTAACGGAAACGAAGCAGAAACGGAACAGACATGAGCTTCAGACAGGGATTGTCTCGCAAGGCATGGCAGGTCACGGAAATGCACAATGCATCCGTCCCCGCACTTCCAGCTGTGAGGCGAGGCCAGGCCCTGGAGCTCCGAGACTTCCTTCGGATGCTGGCGCTGGCCAAGGCATTCCTCGAGCAAATGGGCAGAGCATGGGCAGAGCACGGAAAGCTCGAGTGTGATCACATATTGGAAAGTATAATAGAGTCAAAGCAAGAAAGTTTGTAGGCTCCGGCAGCCTTTTGTGACGGGCACCTTCGCATTTTCGAAGCTTGGATTACAGAGCGGGTTCCAGCCTCGGATTTCTTGGTCGAAGTGGCGAAGCCTCCACACAGCACAGCTTCTGTCGGTATTGGTACATGCTGAGGTGCAGCTAACCGATTCCGAGCTCATCAAGTACCGACTCGCTGGCAGCCCAGAGCCATGCCCCGCAAAACATCAGCGTACGACACGAAGCACGTTGTGCATCTGGGGCATTTGAGGGATTCAGGGCAGTTGAGGCATTTGAGGCATTTGAGGCATTTTGCTATGTTGCCACCGAGCTGGTGCTTCATGCTTGCTTTGCGGGTGTGGCGCCGAAGCCTGGCAGGATAAACCACTGCCTGCCCAAACCTCAGCACCTGCACCAAGCAGAGGTCGTGAATCATACTTTTCCTGGCCCCATCCCGGCGTCCTTGGTGCTTGCTTGGGGGGGGGGGGGGTTGGGGGGGCAAGAGGGAGTAGTACCAGATGGCCGGGCAGTTTTCTGCAGCCTCCCTGTAGCCCTCATAGTACAAAAGGGGAAACTACTGGAAATGAAAGAATATGAAAGAGAAACAAGAGCAACGCATGAACAAATCTAGGGGTCATCATCATCGTTATCGTCATCATCCGAGCTCTGTCTGTAGTCTTCACGGACATGCTTCAATTGTTTGGTTGTGTTTTATAAATGTGAATTCTGACCCAAAGAACAAATTGAAAGACATGGCAACGTTCCCCCCCCCCCCGCCCAATTCTGGTCAAGAGAAAAGATGATAAACATGAAGCATCACAGACCGACCGCGTGTTGCTTTTAATTTTTGATGGCCTGAGTTCTGGCCAGAAGAACAAATGGAACAACTAATGAACAAAACCAGGAAAACACAAACAAACAGTGAACAACTAGAGGACGATTGGCCCGAAAGCATTGAAAGCCGTGTGTGTGCAAGTTGCTCTGCGCAAGCTGCTCTGCGCAAGTTGCTCGGCGCAAGTTGCTCGGCGCAAGTTGCTCTGCGCAAGCGTTCTGATGCAAGTTGCTCTGCGCGAGTTGCTCTACGGCGCAAAGTAAAAAGTAGTACGCGGAGTACATTCCCGCACCAGCTGCAAAATCGCAAATTTTAGGTACAAAAGTAGTACGCGGAGTACATTCAGCTGCAAAATCGTAAATTTTAAGTACAATAGTAGTACGCGGAGTATATTCCTGTAGCTCCAGCTGCAAAATCGCAAATTTTCAGTACAAAAGTAGTACGCGGAGAACCTTCCCTCAGCTCCGGCTGCAAAATCACAAATTTTTACAAAAGTAGTACGCGGAGTACATTTCCGCAGCTCTTTCTCCAAAATCGCAAATTTTAAGTACAAATCTAGTACGCAGAGCACAGTCCCGCAGCTTTGGCAGCACTTGCGCAGAGCAACTTCCACAAAGCAACTTGCGCAGAGCAGCTTGCGCAGAGCAACTTGCAAGCAGCGCACAAAAATTCCCGATTTTGCAGCCAGAGCTGCCGCGGACCAGGCGGGCCGCGACCGCGCGACTCGGAGAGCAGCCGCGCAAACCACGAGACAGTTGCCAAAGACCAACTCGCAAGCAAAAAAAGCAAAAACAAAAAAGCCCTCGAGTTTTTGCACCTCGACCACGCCGATGCCCGCAGAGGGTCGCATTCCCGATCGCCGGCAACATCCCCACCCCTCGCCAAGAAAGAGATTCTTAATACCGAGCTCTTTCTCTTTCTTTCCCGCGCGTTCAGTACTTAACCTAACTTATTTAACCTAGCTTACACAGCTGCTAACGCCGAGCCTCTACACCTAGCTTAGCTTAGATCTATGCACCTAGCTCTATGCACCTAGCTCTATGCACTTGGCTCTATGCACCTGGCTCGATGCACTTCGCTCTTCGCACTTGGCTTGCACTTGGCTCCTTGCACCTCGCTCTTTGCACTTCGCTCTGAGCACTTGGCTCTATGCGCTTAGCCCTTTGCGCAAGTAACTCTATGCTGGTGCTGGTGACTCTGTGCAAGTATCTCCATGCTGGCGACTCTGTGCAAGTATCTCCATGCTGGTATCTCCATGCTGGTGTCTCTGTGCAAGTATCTCCATGCTGGTAACTGTGCAAGCTACTCTGTGCTAGTAACTCTGCGCGAGTATCTCCATGCTGGTATCTCCATGCTGGTGACTCTGTGCAAGCTACTCTGCGCAAGTTGACCAAGAGCTCCGCACGGAAGAGCCCTTCGCAATGCTTTCGGGACTTGAAAAACATTAAAACAAAACAGGGGATCCAGGCTGAGTCCATCATCACCAGCATGAGCATCAGCATCAGCATCATCATCATCATCGTCATCATCGTCATCATCGTCATCATTGTCATCACCTTCCATTTCTTTTTCGTTCCCTTTGTTCCTGTCCGTTTCCTTTCCTTCCCTTTCATGACCTTCCAGTCTATTTCCCTTGTACTTTCTTTCCATTTCTCAACTTCTTCCTATGTGCTTCTCATTTCCTTTCAGGTTTCATTCCATTCCTTTCCATGTCCTTTGCAAGCGCTTTCCAGCCATTTCTGTGTACCTGCCGTGTCTTTTCCATTGCCTTTTCATTTTCTTCCAGTTCTTTTCCTTTCCTTGTCCATTTCCTCTCCGTTTTCTTCCGCTTCGGGTTTTTCCTTTCCTTATGCTATTTTTGGTTGCTATTTCTCAGCCATTTGTTTCCACTCCTTTCCATTCTTAGCTAGAAGTGCCCAAGGTCAGCCACGGCTGAGAAAGAGCGCATTTCACAATTTCTTGTGCAAAGAGTTTGATTGCGGCGGGTTCCTTCCATTTCCTTTCCAAATCCGATTTCTTTGTGAAGCCGGGGCCGAAGAAATGCTGGTTTTGCACTTTCCACCAGAAAGGCTGATTTGTACTTTCCATTTCTGTCCTTTCCAGTCGAGTCCTTTTCAGTGTCATGCCATTTCCATTTCGTTTTTTATGTCCTTTTCGCTCCTTTCCATAGTGGGAAGGCAATGGACATGAATTCACAGGAAATGAACAGACATGAAAAGGAGATGGAAAGAAAGGAATGGGCAGGAGCGTAGAAAGGACATGGAAGAGCGTGCAAGGGCAATGGAAAGGAAATGTAAAGGCATGGGAAGCAAACAAAAAAGAAACACAGCGCTACTAAATTCTCCACGCGGGAATTGCAATACAAACACTTTTTCGGCCCCGGTTGGCGCCAGACACTTCTAGCTAGGAACGGAAAAGAGATTGCCAGAATTTTCATAATAAGAAATGAACATGAAATAGAAAGGAAAAAGAAGGGACTCAAAAAGAAGTGAGAATCAAAAGAAGGCTGGACAGTACATGGCAAGGGAATGCAAAATGACGGAATTGACATGGAAAGGTAATGGTTACACTGGAGGAAAGGAAGCCAATGAAAAGGAAAGGCAAGGGAAATTGCGAAACGAGCGCTTGTTCGGGCCTGGCTGTCATTAGGCACTTCTAGCTGGGAATAGACCTGGGAAGGAACACTGAAACGAAGAGGGACCAGCTTGCCTGCGTTTTCTTTTGGTCACATTCCCTTCATATTTGACAATTATTTTCCTTTCCATGTGACATCCTTTGAGTTTTCATTCATTTCCTTCGCAATTCTTTCTTCACCCTGTGAAGAGTTTGCTAAACACTTGAAACCTGATGTGATTCAACCACAAGGGCGGGCTCGAGATCCAAAAAGGTGCTACGCCTCGTTTTTCATGGTTGACGGCGCAGGGACTTTGAGGGGCACTGCACAGAGGTGGATTTACAAACTCTTGTTGTTGGTAGCGGGAGCCTGAAGAGCCAGGGAGGGGTCATGCCAGAGGGGCTTCGAGGCCATGCCAGAAGCGGGCCAGGGGGACAGCCGCGCCGGAGGGCCAGAGGTGAATGGGCAGAGCCGACAACTACGTGCCTGTGTTCAATGGAAAGCAGCGGGACTATAAGGAGTTCCGGAAGCGGTGCGAGATCTACAGGCAGAAGATGACCCTGGCAGGACGCAGCAAAGAAACCGCCTACAACATCATCACAATGTTGACAGGCCGGGCTTGGGACTTGGTGGAGGACCTCAACAGCGAGAGCCTGGCAGAGACAAACGGCTTCGACCTGATCTTTGTCAGGCTGGATGCTGGGTTCCGATATGACCCTTTGACGGAGCTGCCGGATGACTTCGAGAATTTCTTCGTGAAGTTGCTGGGCATCACCCTTCAGGAGTATGCGGCCGACTTCACGAGGACCTTGTGGAGATTGAAGACAAACCGCAACGTGGAGCTGCCGGAGAAGATCTGTGCTTGGTGGTTCATCCGCCGCAGCGGAGTGACCAAGGAGCAAAGGCAGATGGTTCTCACCATGATGGGCGCTGACAAGATGAACCTCACTGCAGCTCAAGAGGCGGTGTACTTCATTGTGGGCCAGGACAGCAGGGCTGACCAGCCGAGGTGGAACCGCGGTGGGCGAGACAAGGACGTGCTCTATGGCGAGGACTGGGACAGCTACTACCAGATGGACCCGACAAGGGCGAAGAGTTCTGCGACGAGAGCGAGTTTGCGAGCGAGACGGAGTGGCTCGATGCGGACCAGGACTACTACGATCAGCCCGATGAGTTCGCGGAGGTAACGGACGTCTTCGATGTGGACGAGTTGAACTAAATGCGGACTTCAAGAGTCTACCCCGTGGTGGCGATGATCGATGGTCAAAGTGGAGGATTTCCACAGAAGTCAAAGGGCGGCAGCAAGGGCAAGAAACGCGGCAAGGGAAGGCTTGTTTGGAGGTGGAAAAGCCAAGGCGCGTGGCTTCAGGGTTTGCGGGCAGGGTCTTCAAGGTTCAGTCCGCGGTTTGGGGCGGGGTTGAAGGCTCAAGGTTCAGGGTGTTCAGGCTTCAGGGTTTGGTGAGCGCCTCTCCTTAGAATAATATTCTACCCTGGTCCGAGACGGATCTTTTTACCTCCAGCCCGGTGAGCGCCTCTCCTTTGAATAATATTCTACCCCGGTCTGAGACGGCTCTTTTTACCTCCAGCCCGGTGAGCGCCTCTCCTTAGAATAATATTCTAACCTGGCCCGAGACGGATCTTCCCGAGACGGATCTTTTGACCTCCAGCCCGGTGAGCGCCTCTCCTTAGGGAAGTATTTTCCCTCGACCCGAGACGGATCTTTTTACCTCCAGCCCGGTGAGCGCCTCTCCTTAGAATAATATTCTACCCTGGTCCGAGACGGATCTTTTTAATTTCAGTGCGGTGAGCGCCTCTCCTTAGAATAATATTCTACCCTGGCCCGAGACGGATCTTTTTACCTCCAGCCCGGTGAGCGCCTCTCAGTATTTTCCCCCGACCCGAGACGATCTTTTAACTTCCAGCCCGGTGTGCGCCTCTCCTTAGAAT